AGACATACTTCATTTCACACCTGCTCAACCATCGTGTGTACACAAGTTAACAAGGTTTATCCCCTTCATATAACAAGATTTACTATAAAACCTATCCTCAGCCTCTAGTTGAATTACAAAAGGGATCCAGACATGCCCCACTCATGTTCTGTACTTACTTTTTCTTCAAAATTATCCCCTTTAATTAATAGGGTGGAAATGTAAAATAGAAACATATGTTAAAGTGGTAGTAATAATTGACAGATTGTAAGGGCCTTCTGTAACTGGACTGCACTTCAAGGTAATAATATGTGAACGGGAACTACAAAATTACCCCTGATATTCACGTAGATATATATCGACTCGGGAAAGTTTCAAAATATCAAATCTTGAGATTTCAGTGTGAATACTATAATTAACATGAAGGCGGAAAATGCAAGACAGAATCAAGACTCAAGGTTATCATTAGTTTCCATTGTCGGAGGCTTCTTTGCCTTCTCATAAACACGAGGCCTACATGTAATTTTACCATCCGAACATAATTTTTACCAAAGATGGAGCATTTTCTTACCTGTGGTTTTCAGCTGTGAAAAGACCATCCAGATGTAGAAGGTCGTACGTCCGAGGATAAGTCGAGAACGCCTCACACCTAACAAGACAATAAACCACAACAATCATTAACCATGGCCACCTCAAATCCCAAGAATCCAAATAATAATAACAATTACCAATCATGGTAGGTTCCAATGAGCCCCCTATCGTACACCACCGGCAGGGTATTGGGCGAATAAGATGACACCACATTCATCACCCACAGAGGGTAGTCCGTTAAGGCCGCTGCAAAACCGCCGTACAGCGTGTTCATATCCATCACGTTTCTTATCTTGTCGGTCCCTATAGCCGGAACCAGCTTCTTATAGTGCTTGGCCCTCGTCTTCCACTTGCTGTCATCGTGCTTGAAAGCACCATCACTACCCCCCCTAACATCCGCCACCCGCTCTGGCGCGACCCGCAGCCTCTCAGGCCACTTGGCAAGGGTCTTGAGTGCAATTTTTTTGTAGTTCTGCCCGGGAGCCACCACACAGGGCCTGATTGGAGTGTACCATGCCGAGTCCGGCTCGGTTCCATCATCGCATTTCGGGGGGTAGACGTCTGGGGACTCGAGCTTCTTGTAGCAGCTCTGGTCGGATAACTTTTGCCAGACTGCAATATCGTCCTTCTTGTTGTACAGCTTGAAGCACATGGCGGTGAGGAGCTCCTGGAGTTTTTCATAGTCTGACTTCTGCTCCTCGATGGTGGTGTTCCACCCGCGCCACCTGTTCTCATAGTTCACAGGGGGGCCTGACAGCACCCAGAATCCGCCCGGCCGGAGGATACGGTGTACCTCCAGGAGGTATATGCCGCCTGAATATTTTGAGACAATTGAAATAATAAAAATTGATTATTTGGGAATATTGTATGGTATAATGTCGAGTTATTCGAGAAGCAGAGTTATGCATTAACCAGAATAGGAATTGGAAAAAAAAAAAAAAAGTTCTTATGGGAAAACTGTAGGCTCGGATTTCCTGTTTTCACAAAGGGCTAAAAGTATCCAAAAGCAAAACTACAGCATCAAAGGGTGAAAGGCCTAGAGTCGCCAGTTTCAATGATTGCCGAGACTAAATTTGCAATTTAGCAATTGAAAAGTGTCCGAAGGAAAAGTAATGGCGGTTTCAGAGAAATATGACAGTGGAAAACCAAGAATTACTAGATACTACTAGATTATGAAGCAAGTTACCCTTAAAATTTTGGAAGAAAGAACATGTCGTCTGTTTACGAATTGTACGTACCAAATTCTGTCCAAGGAATCAGGCATCTTGAACAGTGTGCCATGTCGAAGGAGTTCGAAGGAAATGGAAGTCTCTGTGTTGAGATGATGCCCAGGATAGCAGGAATTCCACGTTCTAGCGCAAACTGAACTTGAGCCTCATGATTATCTCTAGGGGCAAGAGAGACAGTAAGAATTCCTCGATCGAGTAAATCACCTCCCCAGCTGGCAACCTTGAAGAGAAAAAAACATAGACAAAAATGTTACAAACACATATGCCTGCATACTTAAAATTCAAAATCACGTAATAACTCAAGCAGAAACTGTGTATATTTGATCTTTCCAGCGAATAAGAAAAGACTGTTATCTGTACAAGTCGACTCAAGAAACAACCAAACAAAGATTGTCAATAAATGGGTTAGATCATTATAAACTAAAAATCTCGTTTGCCATAACATAATAAGCTCAACAGATAGATCAGCGAGCAATAATGGTGTAAGTATATCATTCAAAAAATTCAATTAATTACTTAGATGAAACATAAAGATCTTGCTCACCCCACATCCAGTATCGATGGCAGTCCTAATAGTCCCATCCTTCATTCCAGGAATCAGATCTTCCATTAAATCAACATATTTACTCACACCATTGGGGAACATAGTGCCACCACCAGGAAAGAGGAATTTTTCACCTTCTTTCTTCAGCCAATGCTGATTTGACTTCTGCTTGTTAATCCAATCATACGGAACATTCCTGATAAGACCGAGACATTGAAGTTGTAAGCTTCCCTATGCATCAAACTGCCTTAAATTTAAAATTTATCAAAAGAACCTCTTTTTACCTGTACCAACATTCGTTCTTGCTCTGTGGCCATCTAATAGGAAACTTGTAACCATCAGGAGGGGGCACCAAGCACTCCTTCTTTTCAAACACTGGAGGGCAATGGCGCTCCATGAAAGTAAGACGGTGAAGACTATACTTTCTCCACCTCTGTAAAAGAACATTATAATGCCACTTTAAGAATAGTAATAGTAGTAATTTATATAAAAGCCTTAAAACATGACTGAATTTAGATACCCTTGGATCTGTGCAGGGGGTGTAGTCCTGATAATCCGCAGGGCATTCAGGAAAGGTGACAGCTTTGATCTGGAGAGGACCCGACGCTTTCTCGTTGGAAGGCTTAGCAGCTTTATTGACATCCTGCATGTCATATTTGTCCTTTTCTGAACAGAAAATTCCTCCAAGATAGAATGAAAATCCGCACAGGACAACAAACATTAGTGCCATGGGGACTTTCCTCGAATTTTTGTCCGGATGAGTAATCGGCTTTCCATCTTTATGCTTCATGGTGCTCTACACAAGCTGCACACAGACACAATAAAAAAAGTTTAACAACAAACTTCCAAATGAAAATTCTGATAAGAGTCACTGATTACTAGATACGGAAAGTATTAGTATGTATGTGAAGAAAATTATATATGTGGAAATAATGCCATAATTTCTTCAGATTCTCACTACTTAACGAAGTGTACTGAAAATTTAAAGGGTGCAGCTGAATAAAGTGATCAATTTAGATCAAACTACAAAATACTGCTAAAGTTAGTGAAACATCATATGAACAATGTAATTCACACAATCCGCTCCAAAGTCAGGGACAAAGAGTTATTAGTGTAAATGAATAATCTATATCTTTATATATAAAGTGCGGCAAAGAATTTAATGTAAAAAATATTTGTTTCTCACTTTTTTTTAGGGTTAATCATGAGAAAAACCATTACATTTTATATCAATGAGTATAATTGTATTTCTTTAATATTCTATCATATAATAGTTATTATTATAACTAACCTAATTATACTTTATTAAATGAAAGTTTCATAAGTATAAAAAAAATTGTATTATAATTTTTTTTCTTCAATTTATTTATTCTAATCAAAATTATCTTTTTTTTTATCTCATTAAGCATTTTTTAAGTAAGCTAGTTGGTTTAAATGGCATAGTCAAACCCCTTAAAATCGCATAAGTAATTGTTATAATAGTAAATTTATAATTTTTCAGCTAATTAATTGGTCATCTCTCAAAATTATAAAAATTCCGTTATTCATTACATTTTATCCAATCAATATAGTGATTCATATGTAGTTAAATAGTTTTGTATATTTTTAAAATATAATACCATTATATAATTTATGATTTTAATGTTATATGCATAAATACAACTTATAATACTTTATTTGCATGTGCGCGCATCAATTAACTAGTTTACTTTATGACTCTAAAATCATAAATAGCAGCAAATCCAAAAGTTGTTGATATATAAAACAACAGTAATGCTCCCAACCCACGGTGGACACATGTTAATATGTCCACCGCTTATATGGCATGCACGCATTGGTGATGTTAAGATCATGGACGGACTTACATTAGGCCTGGGCTGGGCTGAAGCCCAGGCCTGTTACTTGCTTTAACTATTAATTACTTTTAACTTTTTTTTTTTTCTTTTTAAATCCCTAGCCCAGCCCAATTAAAATACTCAAGCCCAATTGTCCAAATGGCATTAAAAATAATAGTGTGATATACATCTATATATAAACTATTTATATTTTAACATATCATTTTTTATCTTTTATATTTTATATCTAATATTTTGTTTCTTGTATATTATCTTTTAATTTTTTACGTCTTTTCTAAATTGATGGTTCCAATTCAAATCTTTCGTCAGATTTTCTTTTACATACATGACGTTTCTATCTTTTTCAATAACCATAATTTGTCTCTTCTCTATATTCTCTTTCTTTTTCATCTTCTCATTTTATTTGTTTCAAAAACCCGATCCAAATTGGTGGGCTGGTAGGCATTCATTGTCATACCTAATTGACTAATAATTGTTTTTTGCTGCACTTTTATTTATATATTGCTATATTTTTGTACCTTACCTGATTTTTTTGTCTTTTTCGTTGTCATGTTTTGTAATTTTGTTCGATAGTTGTCTTAGTTTTATTCATGGGACACTTGCCTGTTTGTAAATGGAGAAAAAATGGTGTTATGAGGTTTGATTATTGTGTGAGATCCAGGATTGAGTGCTTGGTCTGGAGAGAAAAAAATAAATTTGAAGGGATTTCTTAATTCTAATTTGTTGGATTTAGTGCTTAGTTTGGACTCTGGATAGGAGAAAAGAAATATGAAGGGATTTATTAATTCTAGTTTGCTATGGGAGATTTCTTTTTGCATATTTTTGCACTTTTGGTAGACAATTTTTATTTGTTGTAAGTTTATTTTTGAATGGTTGATCATGGTACACAATGTGAAAATGATCAATTAAAAAATATATATATTTCAACTCATATTTGGCTTAAATAAATGGACATATTTGGCTTGTGAATTTTTTAAAAATTCGCATGAAGCAACAACTTTAGGCCAAAAAGGTCGTCGAACCGGAGTTTACTAATAGTATGAGTATAGATTCTATTGTTGATGAATTTTATTATGTAAAAGTTCGTTGAACAGAACTTCAGTAAATATTTGAAGAAAAAATATTATGTGATTTTTATGAAAATGAGTACTTAAAATTTTAGCCCAGTCTACTCTTAGTTTCTGGATCCGTCCCTGGTTAAGATAGTCAAAAAAATACATAACCAATGTGTGCATGCCACATAAACGGTGGGCATATTAATATGTATCCACCGTGAGTAGGGGAGCATTACTGAACAAAACAAATAAATGTCAATTGTAGCCAAGAAAAACATGAAATTTTGCAGATCTAGTGCCTAGTGGTAAAGGAAAGCTATCGACAACAGCCTTTAAGACCCGTCAAAAAAGTATAAGATCTAAATGGGAATTGGGACACACAACACTTCCAGTTTGGTCCTTTTTCTCTGTTTTCTTTTTTCTTTTCTTTTTTTCATGAAAATTGGGCCCAGATTTTTATATATTTCAGGGCATGATGAGGTTCACTCAACAATGGCAGAAAAAAAACAACATTAATTCAATCAATCTCACATGCAAAAGCAACTAAAAAATTTCCAAACAAATCATGAAATCAAGTATATATCATTGTACTAGAGATTTTGATATGCATGCATAAATACAAAATTAATATAAATAAATCAATCAAAAATATCTACGAACACAGCTCAATCAATTCTTAAGCATATCAAGACGAAGACTTTCAATTAACTCACTCCAGGGAAATTGAATTCAAACAATCTTCTACCTGGAAGAACACATTAAACAGGAAAATGAAGAGAAATTTCATTTGTTAGGTTATAAAGAAGCTGCCAAGAGGTTCAAGATTTTAAATCTTCTCCAAATATCAGATCTGCTTTGATGAAGCCAAACACGGCCAATATGGTGCCCAAAACCACACAAAACAGAGCTAGAAAGGAAAACGAATCCCGTAACAGAGGTTCACTCAAACAGGCAATTCGACAAACACCTCGAGCACAACAGAGACCAAAATCCAGACGAAAAAAACACAGAACAAATCCAAGATCTGACAGAACAGACCAAGATCAGAACAGAAAGGTACCTTCTCTAGGAACGCGAGTACGCTGCCAATGCACGCAATCCCTTTACAGAACAACAGCAATGGGAATAATAAATGCACAGAGAACAACTCAACGTACTTGACAAAATCAAAGGCTATGTACTTTCCAGAATCCAAAAGACCCACCCAAACGAATTTCTTTTGCTTTTTCTTGCTTTCGTTCCCTCGAAAAGAGAAGAAAGGGTTGTTAAAGGAGGATGGAGAGAAAGAAAAAAATGGTGAGTGCAGAAATTTTGAACCTCACCCTCTCTCACGGATTACCCCTTATGCTCGTATATATTTATAAGTGCATGTGTGATTGAATTTTTTTTATTTATTTATTTATTTATTTTTTTGCTAAGATTTTATTTACTAATTTATTTTGGAGGAAATTGCAATTTTAGTTATGTTGGTTGCCGTTTTTAATATTAAAAATTGAACATTTTTGCTATTAAGTCATGTGATTTTAAATTCAACGCCACTTTAGTCATTTGGAATTAAAAAATGTCACAAAATTTTAAGTTGCATGACTTAAATTGTTAATGAAAAAAGAAAAAAATCTTTTTTTATTAGTAATTTTAGTCCCGTAAAAATTAAAATTACGACAAAATACTAAATTATAAGGTCAAAAGACAAAATATTAAAAAAAAATTATTAAAATACTGCAACGTTAAACCAGTATGATTAAAAATACAATTTTAATCATTTTTCCTATGCCGCACCTAATGTATATCTTTTCCTTGTTTACTATATACCACAGCTAATGTATATCTTTTTCTGTTTACTATACCGTGTGGCTCGCTGGCCGTAAGCTGTATTCTTTCTGGTTTGTTATTTTTCCTTTTTTTTAAAAAAATTAAATAATAATAATAATAATAATAATAATAATAATAATAATAATAATAATAAGGTTTAATTGCATAAAAAATCATCACCTTTTGTTTAATTGCAAATAAAACTCAACCTTTTCAATTTAGCAAAAAAAAACGTAACTTTTATTAAGTGTTGCAATTTTGTCTCGTCCGCCGAATTGCCGCCGCCAACCACCACCTATCGCCGTCAACTTCGCCGGATATTGAAATTTTTATATGATCTTGTAGCTCTCTTCCGTGCCGACAACATATCCCGTATTTCACAAAAAAATTTCGACGATAAGACGCCCAATTTTCCGGTCAAAGGTCGTAGATCTAAATTTTTTACGACCTTTGACCAAAAAATTGGACGTCTTGTCGTCGAAATTTTTTCGTGAAACTCGGA